GAACTCTACTCAGTAAAGATTATAATGCAAGTTTAGTATGTCAATTTCATTCAAACCAAAAATTAAGACAACAGAATAACGAAGATGTGCGTGTAGGTGAGCTTGTTTTCATAGACACCAACAATCTACACCTTAGCTCATAATTTACTCATTACTACTTGTATTCTGTCTTACTTTGTGGTCTATTTGATATACTTAACGTGTCTAAATCGATTACAGAGAAAAAACAATCTAGAATATCCTATTGTTTCTATTCAAAAATGTTTCAATAAATAATATTAGAAGATAAAATCGAAAAATATTTTCTCATTGTAGAAAATTAAGATGGAATTGATCGGTATTTCTTGAGAAACTAACTATATGCAATATGAATTTGAAAAAGTTTCAACACATTACTATATTTTTTATTGAAGTAAATCTAATTCAGATCAATAACGAAACTATTTCGATGAAACAAAAAATAGTTTTTTCAATGTAAAATGATGAATTATTTTCCGTGTCATATCAGAATAGTTATCAATATATTTATTTTTGACTTTTATGGAACAAAAACCTTTCGAATGAATTCTTAGCTATTTTTATAATTGATTTATCATTTGGAAATTTGTCTTTTTCGAAGTGTTTCGAAGGAATCTCATACCTTTGATGCATTATTCTAGCACTTATATCACAAACATTCTACACTTATTACATTAATAGATGATCCATGGAAATGTTGAGTGTTTTTAGGAATAATGAGTTAGTGAGATTAAATGTATAAATACGTTCCTCACTTCAATACCAATAATCTCCGTAAACACTTATTTCAAAAGCATGTTGAACTTGATTTCAATGTTCAACAACATCATTTGTGTTCATATGTTAGATTACATAAATCAAAATATGATTGTTATACAGTAGGAAAAAAAACAAAAATAACAGTATTGAATTTTATTATTAAATGTGCTGTGTGATTTTCGTCAGAGAAAAATGTGTACAATATAAGCTATACAAAAAGAGAAGTTTATGACAGATCAGTATATATATATGTCTAAATTAAAATTATTCTTCCGTAAAAACTTTCTATAATACATAATTGAATTTTTATATCATCTTCGTAATCATCAACTCAATTTTTTTTTACTATTGATTCGGCTTATATAAATGGTAAAAACTGTATAGTATTAATTGATACAAATTTAATGTATCCAATTGATTCGTCTATTAATTTTTATCAAAATTCCCATTGATAAACAAAAATATTAGTAGAAAAGTAAAAGAAAAAAAAATCTAATAAAGAAAACTAATTCAACGAGATAAATCTTTTATATTCAATGAACGCACCTACTAAATCCTTAAAACATTTAGGTATGAGCTAGCAAGAAGAGCTCATCAGATTCACACCCCTCTGTTATCTTTTGTATTACAATTAAATATTAAATAAAACACAATATAGATAAAGAAGAAAAGTAAAAAGATTGCTTTCGAGCAAAAGCAATAAATGATTCATTCGATTCATTCTCAAAAAAAAATTTACACACACAACTTTCAACAGTATTTATCAGGTCATAATTATACAAAAATTACAAGTTTAAAATCTCTAATCGAAATGTATTTTTTCCTGTAAACGAACTTTCTCAATTATTCTTTTCTAACAGTAAAAAGGTCAAACATTGTTCCTATTTCATAAGTAAAAAGCAAAACAACTAGAATCTTTTATTCAAACTGATATTTTTGTTACTAATAAATTGCCTATATTCATGTTGAAGAACAACGGTGTAGTGTCAGACTCAACAAGATATATAAAGAGGTTAATATTAAAACAACATTCACTGAAATACTGATAAAGAATTCGTCTATTTGTGGATTTTACCAAAAGACTCGTTGTTTAACTTTACAAAAAATCTTTTATTAAAAGTCTTTTTATTAGTAGAAATTTCTCATCAAAATTATAAGGGCGATATCATTTACTCGAAAGAGGTTTGCAATTTTCTTTAAATCTCTTCTATGTCTCATAGATTCACGTATACTTTTAAGCATAACAAAAAGCCATGTATATATGTCTAATGAGAAAAAAAAATGTGATTCATTAATTTATTTATTATTACTAATGAGATTTCTTTTATAGACTCAAATAATTAATCTATACATAATTTTATTTATGAAAATTCTGAGATATTTTTCAATGAACTAACAATAAAACTCTATATCTCACAAATACTCGATAAAAATATCAATTATCGTTAGAAAATCACAGAAAACAAATATTCGTCAGAATATGAATTTATCCTTAACGAGAAAATATTCCAATAAGTTATTCAGCATGTTTTCTTTTTTTTTTTAGTGTAACGCCTCACTTTACACCTATAATCGAAATACAGAATACACCAACAACTGTATGATGGGAGATCTGAATAAAAACAAAATATATAATTTCTCAAGCAACTATAGTTTAATCATTTTCTAATAAAAAACCAACATCGAATTTTTATAAAAACTTAAATATCTACACCGAAAACAAAATGAAATTGTTGTATCTGTCGAATAATTTTTATACAAGAGAAATATAATGAGAAATACATGAAGACATTCATTAAATGCTCTACTGCTATCATTATTGTCTCTCTTGGAAAATACTTCATTTCATTCTAATTAAATGACATTGCTTCATAGAGAGTACTTTGTCAGATAACTAAAAACAGTTACCACTTTCATTTCTACAATGTCAAAATACTCATTAATAATTCAATTAAGAAAGTGGAACATGTAAAGGCAATAACGTTCATTACATCTAAACGAAAAATGCCCCTTTTTTGTACTAATACTTTGTCTGATATACAGTTTCGTATAAAAAACTAGAAATAATATTACTTTTACATTACAGTTGTTTGTTCAAAATGTTTATAATGATGAATTTTGTTTTCATCGATAAATCTTGAAAATTTAAAGAGTACTAATATGATATATTCTATCATCAGGAGACTATTTTGTGATGAATTCATAGCTGTTTATATATTCACTACTATATCGATGAATATGACAATATAAATTAATACACATCATTCATAGTTTGTTATGTACAAGTTGATACATTTTGGACAAAAATTAGATAAATCCTGAGAAGCACTATATTCCAATGAAAATAGAATTCAATAACGATGAAAATCACTTGAAATGAAAGAAATTTATCAATCTTAAATGTGTAGAAATTTCAATTTTTGCACAACTAACATTTCTTTAAAGAAAAGTCGAAAAACTATACGTGAAAAAAGTTCACGCAAAAATTTCTCAAATACATATATATTGAAGATAATGAAGACGTCCAATAAAAAATATATTGTTCAGTAGAGACAAACGCTATCTTATTCTATATAATTTAGACATGTATATATTTCAGACATTCTTAAAATAAAGATCACATTTTGTAAAAACTAAACACACCTATTTTTTAAGTTACTCGAGTTGATGAATTCTCTTGTCATCTATTCTTATTTGAAGACGAGCAATGTGAAGGAGAAAGACAACACCCTATATATATGTAACATGAAAATTTTTTTTCGTCGACGATGACATGATATAGATGTATGTCATGTCAGACGAGAAAAAAATCATCAAATCAATTAATACAGAAGTGGAATGATTGATAAAAAATCAATCAAAATTTTGAACATCGGTCAATTAATCTCAAGGTATATAAAAACATGAATACATCATTATGAAACAGTATACACTCGAGTTGTATTATTATAATGCATTACAATGTATTTTTATACCCGGGATTATTATTTATTATTACTATTATATTATTTACAATGATAATTATATGGAAGTGGCTATGTACACTCAGGTGCACATAGCCGTGTGGCTATGTACACTCAAGTGCACATAGCCGTGTGGCTATGTACACTCAGGTGCACATAGCCATGTGACTATGTACACTCAGAAAAATTAAATCAATTATTTAATAAATCTCAAACTATATATAATCTTCTCTATATTTAATCATTAATATAAATAGGATATTGAAACTTATTTTTAATTCCACTTTATAAATCATTTATTATTATCAAATAAGTTGCAAATCAAGTTTTACAATCAAATACTCATAGAAAAAAAAATAATATTAACACGTTGACTGTCCCCATGAGAAAAAAATAGTACTTGTTCTACGTCCACTTTTTATTTTCCTTTTAATTTTAACATGTATTATTTTTTGGAGTGTATTACGTTTATATACCACAAAAATAAGTTTTAAACATATCTTCAATGTTTTGTTTCATGCAATACATATGATTCAACTGTCTCTCTTAGATCAAGTGTTTCTTTTATTTTGTTTTATATTGAAACACTTTTTTGTAATAAAAATATTTGAAATTGAGCATTCACTTTTTTTCTCAAATAAAAGCAAAGCGCTATGTTTTTTAGGACTTTATTATGTTCAGTGCATCATATGTGATTCAACCAAGTACTAGAATACTTCCTTACATCGTACCAATACATCCCTATAGTTCAAATGCAGTCAGTTAGTTGCGTCTAACAAACTCTAGCTTCAAATATCATATTCTGCGCATGCATCATATGTGATGCACGGGACGTCTCAGTCCAAAGTATCGTGCATCACATATGATGTACTGGACAGTCAACGTGTTAATTAAGTACAAATCAAGTTTTACAATTAAATACGCATAGAAAAAAAAATATTAGTTAAGTACAGATCAAGTTTTACAATTAAATACTCATAGAAAAAAATAATATTAGTTAAGTACAAATCAAGTTTTACAATTAAATACTCATAGAAAAAAAAATACTATTAGTTAAGTACAAATCAAGTTTTATAATCAAATAC